ACAGGGGAGAAGCCGTATAAGTGCATGGAGTGTGGAAAGACCTTTGCTCAAAGCAGTACACTTACTATCCATGAAAGGATCCACACAGGGGAGAAACTGTATAAGTTCATGGAGTGTGGAAAAACCTTTGCTCGTAGCAGTACATTTACTATCCATGAAAGGATCCACACAGGGGAGAAGCCGTATAAGTGCATGGATTGTGGAAAGACCTTTGCTCGTAGCAGTACATTTACTATCCATGAAAGGATCCACAGAGGGGAGAAGCCGTATAAGTGCATGGAGTGTGGAAAGACATTTACAAATGGCAGTAATCTTAAAAGGCACAAAAAGATCCACACAGGAGATAAACCATATAAATGCATGGAGTGTGGAAAAGACGTTTAATCATGGCAGTGATATTAAAAGGCACAGAAAGATCCACACAGGAGAGAAACCATTTAAATGCATGGAGTGTGGAAAGACTTTTGCTCAAAAACATAATCTTATTTCCCATAAGATGATCCACACAGGGGAGAAGCTGTATAAATGCATGGAGTGTGGGAAGACCTTTGCTCATAGTAGTGGCCTTAGAAATCATAAAAAGGTCCACACAGGAGAGAAACCATTTAAATGCATGGAGTGTGGAAAGACATTTACTCGTGGCAGTAACCTTAGAAGCCACAAAAAGATCCACTCTTAATTACCGTACAAGAAGCCACACAGGGGAGGAACCGTTTGCATGGAGTGTGGAAAGAGTTTTGCTTAGAATGGTCATCTTATTTCTCATAAAAGGATCCACACTCAGGAGAAACTGCATAGCAATAGCAATTCCACTTAGACTTATATACCACTCCTGTGTGCTTATTTTTGCGACCTCTGAAGGATGAAAGACTGAATCAACCATGAGCTGGTCAGGATCGAAATCTTGGCTGTCGGCAATTAGCCTGTAGTACTTCATTCTAACCACTGACCTCCATATTCTCTATAGATTTGTATGTGTATATATATTGTGCCTTTCTGATCCCAATGAGGCAAGGTTGAATCCAACAAAATGAAAAAACAAAAAAAGATGTTTAGACTTTGGAGAAAGTGCAAAGAAGAGCAACTGAGATGATTAAAGGCCTGAAGGCTAAAACATACGAAGAACCGTTTCAGGATTTGGGGATGGCTAGTCTACAGAAAAGGACTACGATTGACATGATAGCAGTATTCTAATACTTGAGAGGCTGCCACAAAGAGGAGGGGGGCAATTTATATTCCAAAACACCAGAGAGCAGGACAAGAAACAATGCATGTAAAATAATCAAGGAGAGAAGCAACCTCAAATTAACGAGAATCTTTCTTACAGTGAAGACAATTAACCAGAGGAACAGCTTTCCTTCAGACATTGTGGTTGCTTCATCACTGGACTTTTTAAAGAAGAGACTGGATAGTCACTTTTCTGAAAGAGATCCTGTAGGAATGTCAATAGATCCTGAAATGGTATAGGATCTCCTGCTTGAGCCCAAAGTGCGAATAGGGGCGCCTGCCGCTGAGGACTTGTACCGGGCTTAGGACTTCAGGCACCAGGGCTCCGTCAATTCCTGGATGGACAGAAGGAAAAAGTTGTGTCTCTGAGGGGGTCGTTAAAAAGAAAAGAAATATCTTGCGATTCACTAGCGGATCCAGAAGTGAATGAAAATCTCTCCAGCAACTCCCATCTCGTCAAATTGGAACCACAAACTCTTATCAGTAGATTTTTGTCTACAATTAGGTTAATTTTGGGTTGGGCCATAAAAATGATTCATGCTATCTCATAGTCTGTTTGTTTACCTATTAAAAGTATTCATTTTCTGGCTGAAATATGTTTTCTCGTCCAGAATTTGCATTTCTTGTTCAATCCAATA